GGTGGGGGGAAAAGGAAAAAGAGCCGCTCTTTTTCCCTTCTACTTTGTCAGATAAAAAAATAAATTTTGCTCCGACATTGAAAAGGGGAAGGAAGAGTTGTAAGATGTTAAATATGAAAAAAATATTTAGTTTTGAAAGTTAGTGCGCTTCACGGAACCAAATTCCTAACAATTCCTATAAAATCTTACCAAATTCCTATCAATTTTATTCTCCAGTTTGACAAAATATCGGTTTTCAATTGAAGTCATTACTGTTTTTAGTTAAATTTTAGAATGTCTTCTTATACGCACCAATAAGTTCCAACTTAAAAAGTTTTTCGTTCTTGTTTTGGTATATTAAAAGTCAGGCAGGTGGATTGGAATAAATCAAAATATATACATTTTTTTTTAAAAAACTGGATGTTATTTTATGACTGGCGTGTCAAATATGAAAAGAGTCATCCAATAAGGTCTACATTTTACCTCCTGGAAGCTACCGACGCAAAGGAACCAGTGGCACCGAATACACACAGGACTGTAGAAAAGTGAATGTTCTCAGAACCCCCGACTACCCTGACATCACATTGCACGACGTCTTCTACCTCGAAAGGGGCTACTTTTTTTACAACAAAAAAGTGTACATGCTGGGTGCGGGGTATATAGTTCCAGTTCCAGCGAAAGTGACAACGCCTTTGACCCTCCATCTGATGGCGCATTTTTCTAACGAACTCATACCGGATGATCCGTTTGAGGACAAATTTGGATCTGAAGATGACATAAAGGTCAGGCAGAGTCTACCAGACAATTGAGCTCATATCTGTTTTACCACTTTTCCAATTAGGCTTCGCATAATGAAGTCCGACACGCCAATTTTGATGATAATTAAATAATGTGATCAGAAAAAGGAAAAACTGCTTGTATGGAAAGAAAAAGTCTCTTTTCCAACCCCCCCCCCCCCATTTTTCAAATTCTTCATTTTTTACTTGTTGCTATAACGGCTACAGGCATGATATCAAGATGTGATGCATCCAAAATCTGTTGACATTAGTTAGTTTGTTCACCATGCAAAGTTTCATTGCATTATGACAACGTTAAAATAGTTTTTGAAGACTTGAAATTCAACGGTGGGGGAAAGTGGAAGTGGAAAAGAGCTAGGAAACAAATGGTAGAAGGGGTAAAATGGGCTCTTTTTCCTTTTCCTTCCACTTCACATAAGCAACCATTTTATGGTGTAACGAGGGGTTCTACAAGGTTGAATATGAAGACCAATTATGTTTATTATCACCTAATTACTTAAATTACATAATTTTTTTAGTAGCATTCGGATTACAAGGCCAAAATTTTACTAATAAAATTTTGCAGGTGGAGGAAGGAAAAAGAGCCGTAAAATGAATCTTTTTAAGGCGTTTTTTCACTCCCCATCTCCGGCCAATTTTGAACTTTAATTTTGAAAATCTTTTTCAAGGTTTCTCATGATGCATTGAAATTGGACATTGTGATCAAATTAACCTCTGTGAACAAGTTTTTCTCCATACCTTACTTCGTACAATCACGCGTTTAGCCAAAACCTAAAACAGAAATCGAAATTGAAATTTTAAAATTTCGGAGAAACTGGAAAAGAGCCCATTTTATAGTTTTTTTATTGAGTTATAGTTTCAACGAACTGTATTGCTACATCTTGTAAAGGCAGTCGAGCGTGACTCAAATCAGGCGTGCTCTTAAATCAGATTTCGACCTTATTTTCCGAGCAACGCGATCAACTTTACATAGGTTTTGATCGCCTCGACCAAAATGCCTTATGCCTAGACCGGCGCGACCAAAACATGTTATTGTTTGACAGATGCGACCAAAAACTCTCAATTTCCGACAGGCGCTTACCAAGTTTTTACCTAGTTAGGCCCACTCAATTATATTTTGGTTAAGTTTCACGACGCAAAACTAAAATGACCGATATTGCGGTTTTTGTTTTCAAAATAGTCGTTTCTGCAAAAAATGTATGCTTGTCCAAGCGCAGTCCAGTTCTATTACTTCTGCATTTTCCAGACTTAGTTGTTTTGGCTCTTTTCCAGTTCCCCCTTTCAAATTCAACTTTGAAAAGCTTATTTAACCTTGTCATAATGCAATGAAATTTGGCGTGGTGAACAAATCAACAACTGTGAACAGATTTGTTCTTCATACTTTACAGCGTAACATCACGTATTTAGCCGTAATAACACGTAAAACAAACATAAAACTCGGTATTTTGAAAGGTGGGGGGGGGGACTGGAAAAGAGCCGTTGTTTTGATGAGCGAAGCTTTTTTTCGCGACTCAAGGTAGGTTTTTGCGTCTCGAAGTTTCACGTGGTAGCACTATTGCAACCAAAATCGGTCGAGCTGTTGTAGACCTAAAGGCACAGGTCAAGTTTTAGCTAACCCTTACACCTTTTATTGCCATGGAAGGGATCAAATACACGATTTGAGGCTTTCTAAGTGATCGCTTTACCATATGTTTTTTTTTGCTCTCCTTTTTCACCCTGTTTCAAATTTTATTTTTTTCACAGATATTTTAGAGCTAAATGCATGATTTTTCATAATCAAGTATATAAAAAAATATTTAGACATACAGTTGCTTTGCTGACCAAGAAAAACTCCATTAAAATGACAAGGCCAATATAATTTTTATTCCAACGGAAAAAAGTCCATGTCAAAAACGAAATCGAATCGAACTAGCATGGCATATTATAGAGAATTTGTTGCAGGCTTTGTTAGAAGAGGGCAAAATCTTAAACGAGGAGGAATCTCAAGAACTCGAAAGATGGCTGAAAGTTCCGGAGTTGACTACAATTTTTCAGTACCATGCAAAAGCGTTCAAAAACTACGAGACTTACCAATTGATCAAACTATACCTCTTTGAATTCAACGGCATATGCAATGGAGTCGAACCCGCAGTTGAGCAGGGTTACGAGTATGACACAGGAAACATCGTTGATGCTGTCGAGTTATTTTTCTATTTTCTTTACAAACACCTCCTAGGATTTTACCCGGGACCCGCGCCCCCCTACTCGGTCTTAAAGGACTACGTAAAGCCAATTCGAAGCTCGCAAGAGCAAGTCTTGCTGACTTTGGGTTCTCGTGGCTACAAAGTGAAAAAGGTAAGAAACAGAGCTGGCTGGGATATAGACAGACTAGATAACAGATCAAAAATGAGAATGCACGAAGAAAAGTATTTGGAGGAAAAAGCGGCCGCAAATGTTACGCAACCTTATGCACCATACAAACCTGTGAGTCTGTTACAAAATCAACCAACACCGAAAAGAACAATTTCAGCAACCAAAGAACAAGCAAGACGAGAAACTACAGAACAACCTGCTAGTGTATTTGCCAGACACGAGCAACGAGACGCCCGGGAGAAGAGTCGGCTGGCGAGAAGAATCCAGAGAAATATTCGCAGTCGATCGCAAACCGGGGCGAGTCTGGCACTGGCGCCACTGGCAGAAGCAGAAGAGGAATGGGAAACTGAGCCGGAAGACTATGCCGAGACAGGGTTTGGGCCGGAATCAATTGCTGAAGAACCATCACCACAAGATGAATCGGGATCTGAAAGTGGTTCGGGATCCGGGTTTGAAACAATTTCTGACGAAAGCTCCAACTGGGAAACAGAGTCCCAAAGAGACGAAGTCGCAACTTCAGAAGCAGCTCCTCAAGATCCAACTTCACTTCAAGAATCGCAAACAGAAGACCAAAATCAGGAGGAAGAGGAGCCACCGGATCTCACTGACCAAATACTACAGACTCCTGATAGAAAAGATAGGACCTCTATTTCTCAAATGTTGTCTATTAATTCTCAAGTAGCAGCATTAGGAGGAGGAAGAGCTCCCAGGCAAAACAGGGAGCGTCCGCCCAGAAGTCCATATACCGGTGGTCGACCGACGGTTCAAGTACGGCCGCGTGCTTTCCGAAAACTTCGATTTAGATCTGCACAAAAACCGCAACCAACTGTTAATTTAGTCAGAGGAGGTCTGACCGCTAAGAAAACATTAACTTGGCCTCCGCCGCAGTATTTCACTCATGACAAATAATTAATCAGATGTAACAAAGAAAAGTTTAACATTTTAAAGAAAAGACCAAGGGAAAAACCAAGCATAGATTTTAACATAAAAATCTTTTCGTGAGCTTGCAAATTGGGTATTCAAAAAAAGGCATTTGTCTTTTCATTTTTCATTTACCAAAAGTTACCAAAATTTTTTCTCGATAACTTCTAACTGTGCCTTGAATCACCAGGCGCTCAATCAGAAATCGGCCAAAAGAAAAAAAAGCGAATACGCAACAGCAAAAAAAGCGCCGATGATCGAGTTTGAAAATACAGACAAAGAACCTCTATTCCTTGAACACTGACTCTTAGGAGCTATTATCATGACAGGAGGTCCAAATGCAAACAAAATTTTGAGCCACTCAAATGTATTTTGTTCATACATCTGAAAATCATACTCTTCAAACTCTGGCCAAGTGAACATTCCATTTAGTTTGCCATTTAAGATGCTCATTAATTCAGTACCACGTGCCGAGGGGAGGAAGGAGTAGCATAGGCGACCTCCATCACCCACCCCCTCAGTTCTGGTTGCATAATTTATTCAAAGGATTGATACTATCTTATGACAGCCATATTTCTAGCCATTTTGTTTTTACTGTTTTTAAGTAACTGTGGCACCAAAAGTTTCGCCAAAGAGGGCTCCTTAATAAACTTCGAATATTCCGACTATTTTGTTTAAAGTTCTTATGAATATCTTATCATGAAAAATATGCTTTAAAAACTTGAATAAAAATCTTTGTTTTCACGAAGGTTGTAAAATACCAGCACAAAGTCGAAGAATAAAAATACGCACCGCTCATGATATCTTTGATCACTTGTTTACTTGTCTCTGATATAAGACAGAATTTCGTGCACCAAAAAGAAGCTTATAATGATGTTTGGAATGCGTTTTATGTAGTAAACATGCCAAAGCAAATCATAAAAAATAACGCAAATTAGCACAAGTATTAACGTGATTTAACTTTGATGAAAAGAGCCTCGTTAAAACACTCGAGAGTGCTTACACGTACTTTGAGTATAGCTTTAACTAGATATAACTTTTCATCGCGTTTTACTATAAGATAGAACGTTTTTTACAGAAGTTGTTTTCAGTAGAAGAATCATTCAAACATGTCGGAAGCTCTTCGTGAAAGACGAGAGAGGCTGAAGAAAAAATCAGCTCAAGGTCAGTTTAAAAATCAGTTTAAAATTGGTGGTTCTTTTTTTGTTTTCTGCGCCTATCTTGTAAGGACTAACGAAGCGCTAGTACAATGATCGTGTCGACGTCTCTTTAAATCCTTGTCAGATTTGTGTAAGGATAAAATCTATTTGTTTTAGTCTCATTTTAAAGTTGGAGGGCGATATTAAATTTTTTGCCATAAGAATCTAATTATTATCATGAAGCTGTTTTGCAAATCCGCATTCAAGATCATGAGTACCGTATGAATAATGAACAAAACATGAAAAGAAAGCTAAAAAAAATTAAAAATTCAATATACAAGGGCGTTTTATGAAAAAACATTCAGGTCAATAATTTCGAGTTTTCGAGCTCTGCCGCAACCCTAGAATCACTACATTTGCTAAAGTTTTTCAGTACCACAGCCAAATGTTTCGTCAGCGCTCTTCCCTCAAAATTATTTCGCAAGGACACCAAAATCGCATTTTGTTTAGAATGCCAAAAAGTTCCTGTGAAATTTAGTGGGATCTCTGTTAATATATCCCCCCTTTTGCCAAAAGGAGATATTCGTTATAAGGTATAAGCTTTCATATGCTGAACCATTAATATGTTTCTCTATAGAGGATATATTCGTTACTAGTTACCCGAGGGGGGATATAGTTAAAGAGATCCCTTTACTGTCTGTGAGGAATGTATGTCCTGGTGGCAAATTGGCCATAATTCAATCGCAATGTCAATCGAAAATAATGAAAGCGAAACATTTTTCATTGAATGAAATATAAAATAAAACGTACATTGCTAATACTAATTGATATTAGTTGAAATTACAAAGGATAAAAACACAGAAATTAAATATAGAAGCAATTTAAATTGTCAAATATATATATTTTTTACAGGTTGTTTTTCCATAGTCGGCCTCATTTTTTTTCAAGGCAAAGGTTATGATATAAAAATTAAGATATAAATCAATGTGTGAAATTTTTTTAGCCGCCGTTATGAACATGTTTGGCGGAGACGGAGTCAAAAAAGAGGGTGAGTCATCCGACGCCCCCGCCCCCCAAATGCAACCAGAAGAAGAAATGACAATTCCTGTGGTAGAGGAGTCGGCAGTGCAATCAGCGCCGGGTGGCTCCAACCTATTCTCGGCAGCCAATCAGATTGAAGATGAGGCCGACGAATCAGAAGATGAGGACAAGGTTACATTTTATAATGGGCCGCTTTTTGTTAAGACCATTTCCCGAAGGAACTATGACGTAGAGTTTTTTCAACGCACTTTGACGGCCTCAAAAAACACAACGTAGGGGATCACGTGACAACGTAGGGGATCACGTGATATATCATTTTAAAGCCTTTGTGAACAATAATCATGGATCAGATTAGATACAAAAACCAAAAAAAAAACGGTCAAAACTTTTTCTTGTTCAGAAAAACTTTCCGATTCTGAATTTCAGACTGAATCCCCAGTCTAATCATTCCTCGAGTTTAGCATTAATTTTGATATTTTTACTTGCTCTTCTAAGTTTTTAACCAATGCAGTCCCTTCAAATTAGGTAAACAAAAAACCGAAAAACTTTGAAAATTTGTAATTATATCAAACAAATTTTTCCAAACCAAGTTTTTAAAAAATGATTTTTTGGAGTTCATATATTTTTCATTGCAAAAATAAGCGTGATCAGACGACTCGGTTTTAATTGCACAGCAATCGTTTATCCATATAAATTTTTTAATACAAACATGCGATATAATTCTCACTGCTGATCGACCAAAAATGCCGAACAAAACTGCTGGCATCAAGGTGAAGTACTGAATATTCCGACTGCCTTTTAAGGCCCATAGAGGATTGATCGATATAAATTTGAAGAATTAATAAAAAAAAATTAATCATTTTTGAGATTATTTTAGCAATCATCCCCCACACGCCATATAAAAATATTGTGATAGTTTTTGCTCCTAGTAAGGTACAAAATTTGACAAGTATCATGCTTTAGTCAATTTGCAACAACTTCTAAGACGGATTAAATCTCCGTTTACGCGTTCATAGCTCGCGCGTTAAATGTAATTATATCGCGCGTTAATTGTCTCATTCCGGCCATACTGTCCCAACTTGATAAAAAAAGATCACAGGTGAAAATTTTTGTCAGAAATGGCTAGTTTAAAAGCCGAAATTTTGTCTGGATAAGAAAATTACGGAGCTCAAATATTCCGTCACTTTCCTCGAAAGTCGGAACAAAAAATTTCATTCACACTGAATTTCCAATTCAGTTATTCCTCGAGTTCCAACTTATATTTTTACTATGATGTTCGAAGTGTTTTTGTTCCGACTTTCGACCAAAACGGATTATTTTTTCTCGGTGTGTTTTTTTATTTAGTCAATTTTCACCGGTCGAAACAATAAATTTCAACGCAAATTTTTTATACCCCATTGAAGATATCGACTTCCTGAGTTCAAAATTTAAAAGGTCTTTCACCTCCGGTTATTTTCTGTAAAGATCTGGGTATTTGAAAATTGTCAAATTTGCCATGTTCTGGACTAAACTATGCGCACTTTGAAGAGTTTATTCATAATGCCGAGAGCGTAACGCGATCTATTTATGCGCGGCGAATTATTCCGCACTGCAAAATTGTTCCAAATTGAATTGAGGCTAGCTAATTGATAGTATTAGTTTCGTACGACTCAAAAATTTACGCTTTGTTATTGTCCATAATGTATAGGTTCTCAATTTTTTTTCACAAAAACTCTTTGATATGATTTAAGGGACAGTCGGAACATTCAGGGCTTTGCCCTGATATACGAGCAGTCTTGTTTTTTAGCGAATTTTGACCTTCTCATAGAACATATATCAGGAAAAAAAAAACTTATAAAAATGCCCTTAAGGGATCTCGAATTGCTTATAGAATATTTTGGCATAAATTAAACATTTTGGAGAAAAAAAACAAATGTCAAAATAGGAGTCGAATGGGAGTTACTACAGCCAATTAGCTTGAATCCTTTCAACTTCAAAAAAATGCTGAGTGCGCGATAATTCGCAAAGACAGACAAAATCGCGTTGCGTTTTCTGCTTCATACATCAAATTTGGAAATTAGTTTTCAACCAAAAATGGCGTTTGCAAACCGCACCCCCAGAACTTTTAAGAAAAAGTATCAAGGATAATTTTTTTCCTACTCAAACACTAAAACTGAAAGGGGTTATCATTCCATTTTTTGGAATATGCAAGGTTAATTATTGAAAAATTGCTTTGTTTTGATCACTGAAGTTGGTCTGAAAAAAAAACACTCAAAAAATTCAAAAGTCGGAAAAAAATTTATCTTCGAGTTGTTTAGTATGCAGCAATACATGTTCTCCTCAGGATTACTGATTCACTCAGAAAAAAATGTTGTCTCTAAAACCTTTCACTTTTTTATTTAGTAAAAGCAAGACAAAAACGTCACCAACTTTGATATTAATTTCAACACTGACTCATATAAATTATCTAGAATCAATTTATAAAATATTCTTATCTACACCAAGAGAAAACAAAGACAAAATGCGTAAAATCAAAACGGAGATCTTATTTGTCTCATTTTATTTCCTTAAAATGCTCCTGCAACACATTTTTAAAAATTTATAATGCTTAAAGCTATTTTTTAGCCCAAAAATCACAATCCTGATTGTTCGTAAAAAACCTATATTCACTTCTTACAAAACACATGGCAACCTTTCATTCCGAAAAAAGTGATTCCAAAAACATATGTACCAATAAATGGTACTTCTGTATGTACATGGATGTGCATACTTTCCAATTTAGAAAATGTCATTTTTCCTTCAAACTCTTATTTTTTGTCAATTGGAAAGCAAACAAATGTGAACCTTATGAAAAAGAAGCAACAATGTCACAAATATATACGGCTGAAGGTAATCAAGGGATTTCACTTTTGCGCAAACAAGACCGCAACTGGCCCGAGAGAATATTAAAGTTTGGAAGTAAAAAATTCAATGGGACTGTTAAACAAATCTTTGTGTAGAAAAAAAGCAAAAAACGGTAGTCCCTTAGTTTCTATGAGCGGTTCAGACTTGCGCCAAAAAACTGTCGTTAAAAATAGCATTCCATCCTTTTTTTCTTTCATCAAAAACTATATATTATCGAATATCATGGAAAAACATTCGGAGTTGAGTCAACAACTACGATCCGTAAAGAAAATATTATACAACAACGCTAATCTTGTCCAGAAAATTTTCACACTTTTGCATAAATTCTTGCACTTTTTATGATTTTTTAGAGGAGGTTTTTTATAAAAGACCGCTTGAGATGCGTGTGTAATTCTGTTGCAACAGAACCACTATCATATCAATTTATTTTGCCCGAATGCTGAATCCGATCCGAGAATATTTTGCGCTCCCATTTTGGGGAGGATAATAAATGCCGTTTGTGGTTTTTGCACAGCAAGTTAGGTCTTTTAATTGACAATTTTCTGGTCTTTTAATTGACAATAATTTTTCCTCTGAACCTTAGCTGCTGTTCCTGCCAATTTCCACCTTTTAGATAGAAGGATTTAAAATGCAATGTATGAATGTTTTCGCATCAGATTCAATGGAAGTTAAAATTTTGAAAAAATTATGGATCACAAAAATTTACTAATAATGCTTGACTATTCAAAAGTACAAAAAAATCAACCATTCAAGCGTTTGCAAACTGAAATTTCGAGCCGAAATTTAAAAAAAATTATTTTGTCTAATTTCTATCATTGAGATTTCAATGAAATTCATTTCTTAATAATCATCACGAGGCCAAAATGAGTCTCTTTAGAATTGTGAGCAGATTCGGCAACATGGACGCTCTCTTTGTTCTTTTTTTTCAATCTCTGACAAAATTTTAACATGTTCAAAGACATGTCTCTGCAGTCCAGGAACATACAAAAACAAAATTGTGCACCTATTCAGTGCACAGTTTGGCCATGTAATGTTATTGAATCTTAAAATATTTTTTCGATTGCTTCATTTTCCAATTTCGGAACAGGTCAGTTTTTTTTATTTTGAAACTTGTTCATTTTTGTTTGGGCCAATTTTTTGATCTCAAACTTTGCTTTAACTTTCAATTGCCTGCTGCTGATTTCATCGCGCATGTTTATTTTAGGCTTCTTCTTCTTCTAGATGCCAACTGCTTTTAAAGTCAGTAGCTTAATGCTTTTGTTAGCTTCGTCATGAGATTCCGGCTTTCTTCTTCTCTTTCCCACACTGCCGTAAATGTTTTTTTTTCTCGGTGTTCATCTATTCCAGTGTTAGGATTTCTGTCAATTTGACTAACAAAGGTGGAGTTAAAACCCTAACACGATGTCTTAAAAGCTACTGTTGATTTTAGTTCAGACAAAAAGGAAAAAAAATACTTTCAACTTTCTGTATTGAATGAAATTGGTGCGTTGATTATGTTCCGCACCTTATTTGAAAAGAGCAGACTTCCATTTTTTTGTAATGCACCATCAATAGAGGTGGTATCTCTGTACAATCAATACCCATTAATTTTGAAATTTGCCTGGGCTCTTGTTGATGTTTCCTTTGATGATTTTTATCAGGATCCTCTATGCAATCTTATCAGTCTAAGATTCTGGGCATTGGCGGTTAACCCTTTAGTTTTTATTTACTTTTATCGCCTCGTCAATCATATTCCAACTTCAATTGCTTCTACAAATTTGCTAACTTTCGCCATCTATTATGTTTTCTTTCAATGGAGTGGAGCTAATTTCCTATGAGAGAGAATGTTTTCGGTATCAGCTAGTTTTAATAACATCCAAAGGTTTCGTTTTTGCTTGAATCCACAATAAACTAAATGTCCAAGAAAACCAAGTTGCCTAAAATGCCTTTTCTAGCTTTGTTTTTTTTTCTAGATCAAATTGTAGCATTTCATCTCTCCTTTTTTATTTCGTCGCTAGCGTTCCTCTCGTCAATTCTACCCTGTATTTTTTTCAGATCTGAGCAACTTAAGCTGCAAAATATGAGCAGCTTGTACAAAGATCACCACTTTTTTTAAAACCGAAACGGCAAAAAAAATCAGGTTGTAAAAAACTCTATTTCACATGGTTCAGCACTAGAAGTTCAATCTGTGAGGATAGGAATTTAATCCATCGTGAGAAAGGTGTAAAGGGAATTGTTGAGTTCGTTTTTTTGCTTGCCACGCAAGGCTAAACTCGCACGGAACGAAACAAAAGAAAACATACTCGCAG